TTTCTTTCTTTCTTTTTTTTTTCTTCAATTTTAACTCGACCTCACGCGTGGAAAAAAACGTGCCCCCGTCAGCGGAACGCACGCGTATAACATTGTAAACTTTACGATGCATCGCGCGCTATTTTACGCACGCGAAATATTTCATGGTATCACCTCTCGCGCGTCGCGCTCCGAAAAAGAGAATCGCGATAACGTATCGGCGCAAAGTATCGGCGAACGTCGCGATTTATGAATTTAACATCGGGAAGTAACGCGTTTCATCTTCGTTCTCCGACTCGGTTCGACGCGGTTGAAAATTCTCGCGCCGTGAAATAAGGGGAAGGAGGCCTTTTTTGTTGCATATTTCAGCGGTGCCGCGCGCCTATCGATCACGCCGCCCTGCACGAGGAATCGAACGACGCGACGAGCCGTATGTTGGTTGGCCCTTACCTCGTTCAATATCACGCAGGAACGACTCTCCCGACTGCGGAAAGCACAAACTGCGTACGCACGTATGCGCGTGCATATATGCGCGCGCCCCGTGGAATACGGTATCGCGAATTCGGTATTTTACGAGCGGAACGATCGGCCGAGATTCGTTGATCAATACCGAGCTCGTTTGCGCGTTCCCGTGCGAGTGCACTTTGGTCTCTTTTCCCCTCCCCCCCCCTACCCCCTCCCCCGAATTCGAAATGTCGAAAAACATTCGGAAGTCTCGCTCGTTAAATCGCGACCTCGTCGAGGAGCTTTATCGACCGGAACAATTCAATCGTATGCAACGAGAGTCCTTTTCCTCCTTCTTTTTTCTACCCCCGGTCGTCGTGAGAAAATCCGCCGCGCGAATACCTGCTCTCGGTCAACGGTGATTTTTCAGAAGCTTCGAAATGAATTTTTCGAAACGCATTTGTAGGTCTCGTTAAAGGTCGGGACGGGAATCAATTAAAATTCGGCTATTAAACACCCGATCCAATCGAGCCGAACAGCGAAATTCTCGACATAACGGTGGCGTAACGCGAGGAACACCCGATACACGTTTTCGCACGCACGCAACGTGTTTCGCGGCGAGATTTACGAGCGCGCAGCGATCCATCGCGGTGACCCTATGGGGAAATAGGTGCCGAAACCCGGTTTTCCCACCTCTCGCGATTACGCGCCGCTGCATCGTCGTCGCTGCAGGTTGCACTGCCCTTCTCCAATCGAAATGCAGTCCGAGCGCATTTCTACTATACTCTGCCGCATACGAACGTTGTCTCTCCCCGTCCCCCGTCCCCCGCCCCCACCCCCCTCGACTCATATCAACTGCTCTCCCTCCATATGACATATAAATTATATATATATATCTGTATTTGTACCAAACTTGAAGACTTATGTCGTCTGTATGTCGTACACCCGAACTTTGTTCGATCCATTTCGCCCTCCGTCACTCAACGAATCAACATCAATTGTATTGATTGATATGTCTGTACAGCGTGTGTGTCGCATGTCATGTGTGTGTGTGTATATATATGTACAGAAATTAATGGCCGTTTCGTGTCGTGGCCGCGGCGTACAGCCTTGCATGCTTTCTTGACGGCGCATAGGTGATCCACCGCTCACACGCAGATTTTCTCTCCCCTCCGCCCCTCTCCTCTACCCTCCCCCTTGTCCTCCCTTCGTGTCACGTGTCTCCGTGTGTACGTGTTCGCGCGTCAGTAAACTACAAAACAGGGATTGAAACCGGAGTAATTTTGGCGAGATCGGATTTCGGTGCCGTACGTTGTATACGAAAACGATTACCATGTGATATATATATGCATTATACGTCGCGGCCGATCGCGCGAGCAAAGATCTCGGCGCTCCTCACGTCCGACGCATCGAGAATCGAGCTTTACCGAACGCCGTTACAGCTCGCGGTTCCGATCCCTGAATCCACAGAAGAAACATGCGCGTTCGTGCACGTGTCTTTACGTGTATACATGTGTAAACGCCTGAATGTGTGAATTTTCGTTATAAAATAAGGAGCATGGTCAATCGTGCCGCTCATCGTTTGAATCGGCTTTTAAACGTGACGTATAGCATCCCGATTGTATATCGCGAGACACGAGGAGAGCGCGACCTGTGCTTCGACCGTGACGTTCCTTCCTCTGCATCATGCGCTCCATTGCCGTCACACTTTCTCGCGATGATCTCGTTTTGTAAAGTCACATTCTTCGGAAACGCGCGCGAGTAACTCGTGCCCGAAAGTTGAAAGCTCTCCGAGCTGACGACCGCGACACTGTGCAGTGTTCGGTATTTCGGAGAGTTTCCCGAATAAAGAACATGGTCTCTCTCGGTCAGAGATCCCGAGGTACCGCAATCCGTATACCACCTCTAAAGATATACCGGAGCGCTCATTTAATTATCGTTTACGTTGCAATCGAGATGACGTGAAACTAACGTCATTTCTAACTGATTACAGATTAATGTTTGCATGTGCATGCATCCGTTTGCAGTCACGAATTGAAACCGATATATAATTTCGACCGGGTTCGTATTTCGGTAATACGCATTTATAGCGGGAATAATCAATGTGTGTTTGTTCAAATCGGTGGAAACAAGCGGCGTCTGTAAGGGTGCACTCGTCCCCGCGCGTATACGTGGAAAATCGAGAACTGGTCGCAATTATATCCGGTTACGATTCCAGATTTTACAGGTGGGCTCTGTAAGCGGTCGATAGCGAAAAGCGGCTCGTTTCCCGAATGTATAATCACCCCGGGGCTATGATTATTAGACGAGGCGATTGCACGTTGCAAGAAGCCCGACCCCCTGCGGGGGCCGCTTCTTAACGTCATCGGCCTGATTAAGCCTGTCGGATAAGAGGCGTTATATATGAAGATTGAATTTAATTAGTTAAGGAGCTGCGGCGCCGAGCCGAGCGAGCGCGCGCGCGCGCGCCGCAGCCGGTGCATTCACATCTCGAGACGTCCATTTCCGCGGATGCATCGCGTTGCCGTAGTAAACCACGTGTAGCCGCTCTCCGTGAATAAGGGTCGAACTTAAGCTGCGAGGCAAAATATACGTGTCGCGATGAATTATGAGGGGCTAACTTTACGAGCCCCGGTGTATCCGTCGTAATTTTCGCTACGAATTTCACGATACAAGCGTCTGCCGTATAAACTGGCCGGCGGCGGCACAGCGTGGCGCTCGCTCGTCGAAATTATTACGGAGGATGATCGTGGTAAGAATCAATTTGGGACGGGAAAGCGAGAGAGAGGACGATGGCGAGAGAGTGAACGAATAAATTTGATTGGACAAGTCGACGACGGATCGGATACGAAATCTTTCTCGGGAACGAAAAAGTAAACGCGACGTAATCGACGGTCGAACGGCAAATGTGATTGCTACATCAGGGAACCCCCTTGCAATTTTTCCCGATGCGGATCCTTGCATATATCCAGAAAAGGGAGGTGTACCGCTCCTCTCGAAAATGTACGAAGTGCATCGAGGACTATTGAAGTCTTATCGAATTCGTTTTACCCTCATTGTGCCCCAGGAAAATTGGAAAGTAACGTCGTTTACGAATAATAACATCCCGCCCTCAATAACGTTTGCCCGGTATCGCAAAGTACGAAAAGGAAAAGCCGTTTGCGAGACTTCATATCATGAAAATATCAAAGTATACTTACGAGCATAAAATTATTCCATTCGATTTATGTGACTTACATAGATCTCCCGCGATAACGCGCTTCTGTAAATGATTAAATATATTGAATCGCCCCGGGTAATTCTATCCATCAGAAAAGGGCTCTTTCGAAGCTTTCGATAACCCACGGGAACCAACCATATCCTATTTGGCTTCAGATCAAAGAGCAACAGATACCGGGCGAGCGACACGGGACTTAAAAAAAGAAACTAGAAAATCTTTTCCAAGGTATCTCCGCCATCGTCACTTTATTTCAAGTTCCCCAATCCTCCGTGTAAGATAGAAGCCAGAGATGGCAGCGACAGAAGTCTTTTGTTCAAGATTTTCGTTTAATTACTTTGATATGATTGCAGCGCGATATCCGCGTAGAGAAGTAGCAGGCCGTGAAATCTTTTGGTCAACTCTTATCGGACTTCAATTAAAATATCTGTGCGGAGTAATTTAGCGCAAAATCTACGCGACTCAAGTTGTTCTCAAAACTAATATTTTATCATACGAAAATATATGAATAGAAATGGGAGGCTATTGACTTTATAATCTTTCGCAAAGCTCTCAGATTAACATCTCGCCTATAATACCTTAAACCTGTTGGAAACTCATCGAATTGTCGCGAAAGATTTTTTGAATCTTGAAAAATCCTGTATTACAAAATATATAACAATCTAAAACTCTTCGAAAGATAAAGGCAATTAGTTTCCTCCTAGTTTCACAAAAATGATATTGATATATGTCGTTTTATCAAATATTTGCAACGATGCGTAACACGAGTCAAAGAGATCAGGTTTTTTTATATCTGAACTAGTGTATACTCTTTATACTGAAAGTGAAATAGGTATATATGTTTGATATTTGGCAAAAAGAAAAAAGCTCTAGTGCAGTTCAATGCAGGAATAGAAAACGGACCTAAAGTTTCGCGTAGAGCGGCGACGTGATTGCTACGCATTCGCGATGGGGGCCGCGCAAGTAGCGAGCACTCCATCGGAGACGAAGACTTCTTGACCACGCGGAAAGCAATTTTCAGCGACGATATAAAGAGCCAGTTTTCCGCCTGTCGGCCGCACGAACGCGTCTTTCCAGGCGCGCACGGTGCGCTGCTTCACGAGAGAGAAATCACCGTCATCGTCTTCTTCTTCTTCTTCTTCGCACCGTCCCACGGCCGAGCGGATTCTCCCGGTTTGCACGCCTTATCACGTAACGTCGGTTTGCGGATGCACCCATCTCGTAGACGTAGTAGTAGAAGTAGACATAGACGCGAGCGGAATCTTGTAGCTGCATGCGCACGTTCGGTTTCGAGTTACCTAACGGAATGTCCCCATCGTGTAGATACGTGCCCGTCTTAATCAAACTTTGACCTTGGTAGCTCGATCTGGTACTCAACTCAGAGGAGGGTGGTGACTTATCCGATTTCATCATGAACGGGGAATGGTACCTCATCGGTGAGTTTCACTGAGCAAGTTTACGACTTGTCAGGCCAATCAGACTCTGCCTCTGTATTGGCGTATCTGTATGTGTATTTGTGTGCGTAAAGGAACGTGTCTTAGAAGGTTAAAAACAAAAATCTCGAATCGACTCGATGCGCGACAATGAATGGGTTCTACGATGATAACACGGAAGTAAAACGCTGGGCCAGTTATAAGGTTTACATGCACAAGAATAAATATAAATTTTTGAGAATTTTGATTATTACCTAACTTATTGTTTAAAACTGATATACAAGGTTAAACCGCCAAACTCAAAATATGAATTTAGGATCTCAAAACAAACAAAATTTCCCTTTAAAAGTTTCCTCACAAACGCTTTGTTTGAGAGATATTGATTTCTTGAATTACAGAACGTTATTATAGGAATGAATAATGTCGAAATTTTTGTATGGGATGTTCTGAAGTAAAACTTGTACGAAATGCGTATTAATAACTTTTAATCATTAAAACAGAGGATAATGCAAGCGTCCGAAAAAATTACAGACGCACAATGTCAGTCAATAACAACTCGTTCTCTCATCAATAGATAATGTTTCCAGGCAGGAAGTTATCATTTCGAAAAATTCATTTAATAATTACATTTTGATTATTGTAAAAAAATAAAGAAGCTAAACCTAACCTAGATTATCTCGACATTATTCATTCCTATAGTTCTATAACTTAAGAAGTCAATATCTCTTAAACAAAGCGTTTGAAAACAAACTTTTAAAAAAAAATTTTGTTTGTTTTGAGGTTCTAAATTCATATTTCAAGTTTGGCGATTTAAGCAACGCTTAAGATACCAACGATTTTTTATGACACTTTGTCTCTTATTAAAAATCGCTCTATCGAAATAAATGAAATTTTTAATTAAAATTCGATGCGTTATGCTTGACGGTTGAGAAATGAAACCGATGGTGAAGCGAAAAGCACTATTTAATTGTTATTTAATTTATATCTACTAAAATTGATATTAAATCACACATATAAAATTATTATTACTATTATTATTTTATTGATTTAATGATATTGAAAGGTCTAAGTTTGTAAACATTGCAGATACTTCATTTCTTGAGGTGTAATTCTCTACATTTTCGCTTTGTTGCACAATAATTGATTTTACTAACGTTTCAATAAAGTCATTATTGTTATTATTTTGGGAAAAAAAATGATTAATTGGTATGGAAGAGAAGAAAAAAGTCAGTTTGACACAATTTAAATTCTCTCTCTTGCCGTTTCACGTCCAGGCTACATTCTCGTATGTTCTCGGTGCGCATACACAATGGTAGGTAATGCACCTACCGTTAATCCGTCGCAATTTGCGAATCTGTTTGTACAGCGTGTACGTTATGAAAGTACAGAACATGGGAATGGAATTAGCGAATAGAATGCAATAATATATTGCAAGGAGCTATTATGGAATTCAACGATTCTATTTTTGAACAGTAATTAACGCGGCCACATCTTTAACAGCTAAATATAATCTTTCATCCGCGTTTCGTATTACGCTGCATACGCAATCGAGGTATCTATTAATTCAACACAGTTGCGGTTAACAACAACGCAGGCACGAGTCCACGAATCGTTACTTCCTAAAAGCGATCCTCCATTTGGAGACTAATACTCACAACTAATACGACAAGCCTCTCTCCGCTTCCGGCTGGTTTTGCGCCACGTTGAAACATCGTGTTGAGCGATGATGATACGAATACGCAATTTGAACTCTGGCTGTCTCGTCGTGCAGCTGGTTTATTGAATATTCACGAATATCAATGTATTTACTCATCTCAACTCCATCAACATAATTATTTGAAAAATTGAATGACTCCCTCTTTTTTTCTTGTCTTTTCATACCGCTACGTGTTTATACAGCGGAAAATCCTTTTTAATTCAATTTGTATACTTCATCCCGCTGTCCTTTGTAGAGCCATCTTCTGTAGCAAGCACCGGCTTTCATAAAAGAAGAGGGTGTATCGCGGAAGAAAATCTCTGCCATCCTGATTCGTTCCAGCTTCTCGACTGGATTCTGGAACGCAAATTTCGCTAGTGATACGAAACAGCGTCATTGGTGTGTGAAGGAATGCTGATGGAAGCCGTTAAGAAACCGCAACTCCCCCCTCCCCCCCGCCCTCCTCTTCTCTCTTCTCCTCCCTCCGGCTTTTCGTCATGCTCATCGTGGATGCTGCAGGATCCCGGAGCGTCTCGTTTCGCGCGAAGTCGCGATCGATGTCACGACTAAATAGAAATCGAAAGATTTTATGAAGCCTCCATATGTCTCGGCGATGCCGCAGTGGCGTACGACTTTATGGTGGCCTCCCCCTTCGCGACGTTAGCATAGCACGTACCTCTTCCTTGTATCCTTCCCTCCTTGTCTTCCTTCTTTTTCCCCTCACTTATTGGCCCGTGTCCTTTTACGACTACATTCCTCGAGCTCGCGTATCGGAAAGTGCTATTTTCATGTACGGCGGTTTTCTCGAAGTGGATTCGGGTCTGTCGACACGCTGAAACTGCAAAGAGAGATGGAGCCTATGATAGTCTCGGTCTAGTATCTTGAAAAAAAATCCTGCAGATATCCGCGTAAAAGAGAAATCTCTCTCTCTCGAAAAAAATTGTATTCTCCTGGAACGAAACTGCAAGAAAGACATAAAAAAAGGAAAATATAAGAGCAATATTATGCTGTATAAGTTGGAAGAATTTGTATATTAATATGTATTGTTTTCGTTAATAATTTTATTTATGAATTTAATGAAAGTTAATAAAATCAACAAAACAATTTTTCTCGATGCAAAGTGAAAGAGGTAAAAAAAAATCTTGAATTGAAGCTAATCAATATTAACTGTTTAAGAGCTGGCAGAGATAAAGTGTGCTCTATTGCGATACCGAAAAATAAAACGCGTGAACACCAGCCTCGATGCCTTCGACCTGCTCCGACCGACAAAACGGTACATTCGATGCTCTCGCGTGTTAGTGGTCGACACACTTATCGGCACATCGATGTGACGCGCGCGATTAAGAGTGTGTTCGCCCCCTAAAGCCGTGTTTGCGGAGACACGTTAATTATCTCGAGGCGGATGCATCGAGCATGGTCCACGTAGTCCGAAATACAAAGAAAAAGTGTTCCCTGCCAGGAACGAGCTAGCAGCGAGCCAGCAACAAGTGAGTGCCCGATATCGCGATGTTCGAGATCGATTCGAGAGCCCGTCCGATCGGAAGCTATTAAGAAATCCTCCGTCCTCGAAAAATATCGAAAACGGCTACGGTCAAGAGTCGCCTTTGGCCCTCGGTAGAAACTTCCACCATCTTCGTCGAGAGAACGCGCCAGCAGGTGCGTCGTATTTAAAGTTCCGCGGGAAACGGCAAGTTCCGCATTTATCGCGACGCGCATATGTCGTCGCTATTCGTTTGCCGGTATAGTTTAAAGGGTTAGCCCATCTCTGAAGCCTTAAAATGATACCTAAGATTTTGGGATTTTTTGTGGGTAAACAGATAACTTTATTTAAAAGCTGTTTAGGGGACATTGTTGTACATATATAAGAAACTAAAATAATATTTTTTTATGCACAAAATGGCGGCGCAATGGCCTACTTGCAAAATTCCTTTTTTCTATTTTTTCAAATCGGTGTACAGGATTCCAGGCACACGGTTTGCTCTTGAACAAAACACAAAGAATTTTCATTATCTACATATTAAAGACTATAGAAGTCGTAGAGGTTTTTTAAAATATTGATTTTTCTCGAAATGGCAGCTATTTTTACGAAAAGTTCATATTTTTGTCAATACAAGTCTTTCGTAAAATAGCTGCCATTTTGAGAAAAATCAATATTTTGAAAAATCCCTACGTACTTCTCTAGTCTTTAATATGTAATTAATGAAAATTCTTTGTGTTATGTTCAAGGTTAAACCGTGTGCCTGTACACTGATAGAAAAAAAGGGATTCTGCAAGTGTAGGTCAGTGCGCCGCCATTTTGGGCATAAGAAAAATAAAAAAAATATTTTTTTTTGTTTCTTAATGTCCTCTAAGCAGATTTTAAATAAAATTATCCATTTACCAACAAAAAAATCTCAAATTTAAGGTATCATTTTAAAACCGCAGGGATGGGCTAACCCCTTAACTCGTCGCAAACGGACTGGAACGAGAGAGAGCGCGGAAATTCGCGACTCCGCGCGAGATCTTATTGTTCCTTATGAGACGTGCCGTAATCCTAGGGTAGTTTAAAGCAAGACCGCAACCGTAGAGAAATCGCTACGGAGGAAGGTCGACGTGACTCGCAAGGCACGAATCTTTCGGCGCAAAGGGTGCCGCCCATGACTCGACGGCATTTACAGCTCTCTCACGAGTTCACGTAGCCTCGCGATAAAACAGATGGATGGATGATAGATAAACTTTATGTCTTGGGAGATTTTAGTCCCCTCAAGACGCACGATACGCAGACGTAGTGCAGTAGCAAAAAATAAAGAAGAGGACAAAGGGTAGTAATAATAAAGAGATATAGAGATAGCGATTATAATAAGCGGATAGGCAGGTGCTTTATTATGTTCTCAGCAGAGGTACGTTATCTTACAAAAAATAATAGGGTCAGAATAATATAGCGAGCAAGGATGGAGGGGGAAAAAAATTGAGGGACCGAATGTAATCGAGGAATGCAATCGAAGGGCGCGAGCGATTACTCCGCCGTGTTGAAATATCCATGTCGTGTTTAGTCCCTCGGACAGATATGTCGGCGTGTACATCGGTGCTGGCACTTTTTCCAGGTATGCCGGGGAAGAAGAACACGATAATGTATCAATGCTGCCCGGAGCCGTACGTTGACGTCACGTTCACGATACAGATACGCAGGAGGACCCTCTACTACTTTTTCAACTTGATCGTGCCCTGCGTGCTGATATCGAGCATGGCCCTACTGGGCTTCACCCTGCCGCCCGATTCCGGCGAGAAGCTCACCCTAGGTAACGTAATTCTTAGCATGCCTGCCTGCACACCAGCCAAACACACCTCTTCCTTTCTTTTCGGTTGATTCGTTGGAATTGTTACTGTTTACGCGATATGTAATATATACACAGTATACATTTAGCTTGGAATATAAGCTCACGAGACGTGTAGATGTTTAAAGTATAACGAAATATGACGTGGAAATTTTCTCACTTTTTAAGACGTTAATTTCTCGCAAAGTTAAAAAGTAAGTTACTTTCCGACGGATGGAAATTTTTTTTTATTACGTTACGCAAAGTCGAAAACTTTCAAGTTACTTGTTAAGGAGCTCATATATTTATTGTAAATTTTCATTTATAAAATTTTTTTTAGCTTGGCTTACAAGTTGCTCTTAATTAGCGAGCGACATATTTTATTATTTAATATAACGGAATCATTCTATTAATGACATGATATATGATGATGTACGCTGCATATATTACATATCTACACGCGTGTTTATACATCTTTACTTTTTTTGTAAGTATACTTTCCGTTGATACTTTATTATACTCTCGGCGCCACTGCTGACTGTCCTACGTTTGTTTCGTTTTGACGACGGAAGGAAAGTAGTCAAAGATCGACTCTACTTCGATCACGGACGACCAAACGACGTCGCGCAACGTTTTCGCCGGGCGACTTTCGCGTAACGGCGATCTATACAGCGAGATACTCTCCATTTCTTTTTTCCTCTCACGGATCACACGCACACTTCTCCGGCTGTTGATCGTTAAATCGTTTAGCGGGGCTCTCGATGTCTCGAAAGCTCTCGTTTTTCGTATATTTATCACCGACGATAGTGCGCGTGCACTTTCACTCGCGTATCGATTAGTCGAACATACCTTTGCAATCACACTTAGCCATCAATACGAGTTTTATTGTAACGTATATTATATTGCTGGAGAAATAGGAGACCGTTATTCCTCGAATGACTCCTTCACATAGATTTCTACTTTCAATTTAGGAGTATATCCTTATATATATTTATATAAGATAAATCATCTCTTTCGAGATTTATATCTCGATCATCAAAATATAGGGCGTTCAAAAATCTCGTCGTAGTCTATGAGCAACAGCTTCGAAACAGCTATATATATATATATATTTTACAATCAATCGAAATCGATATTCCTCGCTGTATATACTATCTATTTCTCAAGGTAGGGTAATGTCGCCTTATTACGTGTCGATACGTTTGGCGCATATGCGTTTCCCGCGCATCAGACGCCAGTAGTAGCGCGGTCGCCTCGTAAAATCGCAATGTCTATGGGCGCCTTCGACGTCTCACGGGCTTATACGTCCACGTTTACATTTACGAAGGGTCGTTCGAGGAAGAGTGCCGCGTGATTTGAATTTTGGATACGTCGGGCAACCAGTACATCGCGTTAGCCTGTAAGGGCGTGCTGCATGTTACATAGCGCGCCGCGCGTATCTCGACATGTAAACGCCGTCGGTGATGCATATTTTAGAGGATCCGCGCAATAAGCCTCTCTCGAACGGCTCCTTTGGTCCTGCAACGTTGGTAGGCTACGTGAAATATTACGCGCGGCGTTTTCCTCCATCGCCCGCTCCACGGTGAGCGCTGTACTCCAACTGGCCGATGGTACATATATCGACGATTTTTGACGTATTCTCCGTTCGGATGCACGCATCCGCGCGCGGACATCTCCATTTCGACAAGCGAAATGTCCACGTTTGACGTTGAAGTGTTTAATCCCCATCGGGAACTGACAAGTTATTAGCCAACGGAGAGAGTCGAAGAATTTCATAATTCGAGATGGTCTATCAATCGGGGAGTCGAATAGTCGATCGAGCCCCTCAATTATTCAGGGTTAACACACAAATAAACCAGGAGCGATCACACCTCTCCACCGTTTGGCGCTCCGCCTTACACCAAAACGCCGAATGAACTGCATAAAATGACATCCGCGCCCTCGTGAATATTCATGGCGCAGCGGGGCAGATCCAATCTCCGGCTCTCGATACTGCATCGAGGGAAAAGTCGCCGTCTCGCCCCCGTCCAAGTTTTTGACGTGTCCAGAGATAATGGGACTTATCCCTGCGGGGTGCTTCGCGCGATTTTTCTAAGATTGCGCGGGAACGGTGAAACGCCATCGCCATCATAAAGCTCGAAGACCCGATCATTTTCACCAAATCGATTTTTCATTCCTACCAACTTTTCCACTCGTTTGTGAATTCTCCACTGCGATGCAACTCTATTGTTCGTTTCTTTTCTCTTCCTTGTTGATCGGTTTCGTACGACTCCGCTTTCGATCAGGCTTTCCAAACACGCCGGGACGGGCGTGTATAATTCCCCGTCTTGTGTCCGAAGCAATCGATAGGCTCGATAAAATCGGGCGAGACGATCAAAGCGGGATATTAGAGAGTGCCGTTTCACCAATGTATCGACTCCGATTGCGAACTGGTTCCACAATGTACGGCGCGTATATGTACTTACCTATATATACATATATGTATATGCCCATCCGTCGGCGTACGTGACTGTCATAGTGACTCGGCAGTTCGAATTGTCAATTCTCGATACGCTCTCGATACTTCCTCATTTATCGCTAATACTACCCTCGTATCGCGGGAGCCTCCCGTTATTTTTCACGCGGTGTTAGTCGAAAATGCACCCCCTGTAATTATGATGGATCCATTGCGAAATTCGTGTCGAGTGTTCCTCGGCCGTTCTCCCATACGTCACATTTAAGAGAACTTCCGAAAAGCTGTGGCAATTATCGGGCGATATTTCTGTGCAGGGATACCATATTTTCCATTAATTTTCCCCCGAAAACCCTAAATCATCCAGAACACTGCGCCTAACACAAAAAAAATATGCAATACGAACATGACATGGAGTGTTTGCACTTTAACAATTTAATTGTCAAATACTTACAAAGAAATGCATTGACATATATATTCTTATTATATTAAATTTTATATTTTTCGACGTCAAAGAAATATTGCGACGATCTCACTTTGACAAGTCATCTCGCATAACCGTGGCCGGTTTGAGAAACGACTTTCTTGTTCGCCGTTCGCGGGAATTGAATTGAAATTTCTCTGGTGGTACTTCGGGAAAATGACAACCCGAAATCGATGTCAAAACCGATTCGCGGCGTCGCCGTCAATGTCATCGTCCGTTCTGAACAAACGTTACGGTGTTATGGTGTCAGAGACGAACCGGACATAGCGCGCTCTTTACGTCGCGCAATATTTTCGGTAGCTCGCAAAAACGCACCGTGAAAACGTTTCCTCTCTCGCCCACTAAAACAGAGCCCAAGAGCCGAATCGATATTATTCCGCGTACAAATGTTGATTTGAGATCAAAACTTTATTGGGTATTACATTCGTCTTTATCGTGACATCAATGAGCTTCGATTAAATTACGCTATAAATTAAATTATGAAGCAAGAGGAGAAATTTGAAACTTCTGAGTCTTCCCCCGAGATGTTCGATCGAAATGCAGATTATACAAGATGTTCCAGAACCATTAACCTTAATTAATTCTTTGACCAACTTGAAGTAGATTTTCCTGTAAGTGAAATGTCGAGGCATTAATATTACCCGAACTGTAAGCGATGGAAAGTTGAATGCTTCTTGCAAAAGTAGAATGCTTTTTGTGCGATTAAATAATGTAATCTTATCGTCTATCTAAATTTTCCAGTAAATTGTTCTTGTAAAATTTTAAAAAGTCTAATTAATTAAAAATAAAGATATACGTTATCATGACTGTAGAAAAAAGTTCAGTGCATACCTTTCCGTTAAAGCAACTGTCATTAAAATTAAAATCGGACGAATCTGGGATAATCGTATATTCGAATACTCGTTAATACCCCTTCACACAAGTGCGACCTCGACGCAACAAAAAAAAAACACAAATATACGATCGAATGAGATGCACCATCGTGTTGCTGCATTAGAATATTGACAGTATTATTTATTCAGTGCCCTGTAATTTTTTGGACACAAATAAGCGATCCAGTCATTCTGTCGCTGGAGGGGACAAGAAACGAACGCGACTAAACATCTTGTATGAAAATATATATAAAAACAAAAATGCGCTCGCGAATACGGAAAACACTTGCGTGCACGTGGATTTTCATCTTTCGCGATTTATAGAGATACATAAACGGACGGGAGAAGGTAGGCAAAAACTATAATCCCGGCGAGTTTTATGTTTATTTATCCATAAAGGGAAATAAATCCCGGCGTTTTCGGCGTATCGTCTCGCCTCTCTCGAAAGCGCGCTACCTAACCTTTTTCTACGTTCTATTTCAGAATTTCCATTTCGTATATCTAAATGCGAACAGATCTCGGACGCATTGTCAATCGTTATCCTCGACGTGCCACGACCTAGTAATCATACTAAATAAACGCCATAACGCAAGTGCTCGGCGAGCTTTCGGTGCGTGCAATTTGTGCTTGACGTTGTCGGCTATGGCAAGTTACAGTAAAGCCTGGCATTGCAACACGCGACTGTATGCAAGGTACCTCATTATCACGTGTCATACTTCGTAGTTCCTGGATATTACAACGACGAAATGCGTTCACGTCCGTGCGCGTGCATTGTGCGAAACGTTGCTTAATCCTTAATCATTCGCCCAAGCACACCAACAATAATCTCCCACCTTCTTGTCAATTTTCAATGATAATTAAAATCAATCTATTTGAACAAAGTTCAAACACGAGCGGCGTAATTCAACTGTGGATCAATCGATTAAATACTTCTATTATTGGAGAGACCGGCTGTCATTCATCAAGTTGAAATTAAATCTCAGAGTTTCAGAACGATTTTTTACACGAAACGCTCGTTGCGTCGGTATCGTAAAATTAAACGAGTTAATAATTACACGTCGGCTCCAATTTAGCGGCTGAGTTTCGCGGCTAGAGTTTCGTTTTTTCTGTATTTAATAATACCCGCCGAGGTTCATCAAGTGAAAATTAAGAGACCAAGAAACCGCGCCGACTTTAT